TTGATCCCTGGATCGAAGATAAAGGAGAGAATGGGTCGGTCTTTATGCATCCGCTATCACAGTTCTTCACGCGCGTGGGGGAACGGGTCTTTTGTGACATCATTGCAGCCGACTACGTCAGGTTTGACCCCGGCCGTACCGCAAGTACAATTACCCACAGGTTAAAAATTGTATAAACTCACAGCTCCGGCGCCGCGGCTGTTTGACCCTGTGGTCCGCGGAGCAGATTGGCACCGCGCTTATCGCGCCTCTTGCCGCGATAGCCGGTTCTTTCGCGTCTTGGCAGCCAGCGTTCCGGATCGGGTGGAATGTTGGGATCAAAGTTCTTCGGCAGACGGACCTTTCGTTTCTTCTTCTGCTGCTGCAACTTCTTGGAACCGCTGCCGGGAGTTTTTTGTACAGGAGTCTCCTTCGTTGCGGTGACGACGCTGTTAAAATAGATTATAAAAAGAGAAATACGCTTTATTTTAAAGGTAGCATCTAAAATGTTCAGCAAAATATGGATCTATTCAGTGAGACCGCGGGATAAGTTAACAAAATATTCAAAAATCTGGAAGTTTACATAAAATCTACATCTATTATGCAGATAGGTCTAATCTCAGCTATTGGACTTCCGTTTCTTTACACGTGAGGTAACGTACCAGTAATAGCTCGACCATCGATTTCGATTATTTCTAATACTACTAACTAGAGGTGTAGGTGAATGGTAGTATTGGTGGTACTATTTCTGACTGAATTATTAGTCAAAAGTGACGCTGATTAAAGTCAGCACTAGGCTCATATCCCCTGACAGTATCGAATGCTGATATACCGATGTACGGCAGAACATATGTCGAAAGCGTCGGCGCATAGTACGGAAAAACTTCACAATTATTCATTCAGAGTGGACTGGATGGGTAATCTCATCGATAATGCGATCAACAAATAAATTGATGGTTGTAAAGTATCCCTGGCTTATAATATCACCTAAAAAAGCTTAGGGAACACTGGCAGCTGAAGAGAGCATTCGGGGTATACATCTAAAAAAACAGCAGGAAAAATAATCTGAAAGTTGTAGAAAATGGCGGGGAGGATGCAGGCATCTATAACTCGCTAGATTAGGGCTTGGGTGCGTAATAGGAACGTATTCGACGGATATAATATAGAAGACGACTCTTTACAAAGTTTAATGAAGAGGGTTCCAGTATGAAGAGTAAATAAAGGATTAGATGGCGGAGGAACACCAAGGTGCCGGAAAGAGGATATCTCATTAGGCCGAAAGTCTAAGGATTCAGGACTAGGAGAGTGGTCGCAATCGGAAAACGCACTGGAAGGACTTCCGATTATTTGCTAGAAGACCACTGGCTAACGATCATGTTGAGACGTAGTCCAATCCATATTTCAGAATCTAGAGATGTGTCTGACTTTTGAGAGGATGACCAATAACCGTATCATCAGCATAGTATACATACAACTATTCATTTAATGATTGTAAGTCGTCATTGTGGAGGGAGAAGAGGTGAGGGGATAATATAAACCCTTGAAGAACTCCGCAGTTATTGGAAAAGGCTGCGGATTTTCGCTTGCCGTAATGGACGAATTGAGTGCGGGAAGTGAAATATCCCCCAAACCAAGAGACAGCCTAGTTGGGAGAGTCGCATGACGAAGTTTTATTAAGGAGATGGCGTCACATAGTATTAAAGACCGTGCGTACGCACGGCAACCCTAATCTAAATCACTTAGAGCAGAATGGACGACAAGATCAACAGTGTCTAAGTTACCACGCCTTGCCCTACATGCCAATTGCATGGAATCAGAAAAATTGGCGGGGAACGGCGTGATTACGACTAAAGCAACTCGTGCTGTGAGTCTCAGTAGTACAGAAGAACAAGTAATTTTACGAAATGATTTGGGACCATTTGAGAAGACCATTAAAAATACGATAAGAACCACGAGGTTGTCTACTGAAATATCGTGAGTACTATGTTTGCGGAAGGCTTACGTTTTCGGAGTGCCTCCAGTAGCCGCAGCCGCAGCTGCACGGCCGGCCTTCTTGACGCTCTTCACACCGAGGAGGAAGGAGTTCTCCAGGGAGTCAACCTCCTTCTCACTCAACTTCTCCTTGAACTCCAGATCGCGACTAGCCGCCTCAGCCTTGGCGTGATCAAATTTGGAGTAGGCCTGGATGAGGAGGGCCAGCAGGTTTTGAC